GTGGGGTAGGGGGCCTGGCTGCCCCTCTAGAGTCTCCTCCATGTCACCCCTTTCCCAGGTTGGGCCCCTTTTTCTCCCTCCCACTTTGGGCACACCAGGTCCTGCCCCTCCAGCTTGGGCATCCCTGATCTTGTGTCCCCCCCACCCCAAGGGGCACCAGTCCCTACTGAACCCCCCCAGTTTGGGGGTCCTGCTACCCCAGAGCCCCCCAGGTTGGTGCTCCCGGTCCCTCCTGCTCCTCCCAGAGCCCCCTGAGGGGGCAAAGGGGCAGGCAGGAACCTCCCCGGGCCCGGAGGAGCAGGAATCCCGGCTTCCCGCCCGTCCCCCCGCAGGCCGCGGGACCCTCTCGGACGAGCACGCGGGCGTCATCTCCGTGCTGGCGCAGCAGGCGGCCAAGCTCACGACCGACCCCACCGAGACGCCCATCGTGTGCCTGGAGGCCGACAGCGGGTGAGCGACCCGGCCTCGGCGCCCGGGACAGCCGTAAATCCACAGCGTCTGGAGAAACAGCCGGAAGCCCCTCGGGGCTCTCCCTGCTTCTCCCCCGGTCACGTTTCTGCTTTGTTGCAGGAACATCAGGATCCAGAAGCACGACGCCATCACGGTAGCAGTGCCCAAGCTGGCATCCTGACGCGGGGGGACCGCCGCAGCGCCCGCCACTCCTACCAAGCTCTTCCTCACTCCGCAACCGCTCTCCTCTGCCGCTGCTCTGCAGAACCTGCTTGTAGCAACCCAATCCAGGCCGAAATCTCTCCCTCTTCCCTGCTCCCGAGCAGCTCGCGGGTTCTGCGGCTCGTGTCCTAGCGCTCGTGCTGCGGGGTGCAGCGTGGGGCACTCGCTGAGCTTGAGCACTGCTCAGACAACACGAGGTGTGTGTGTGTGTTTGGCCTTAGTTGTTGGAGAAACCAATAAATGACCTGCAAAAAAACAGGCATTTGCTTCTCTTTGCCATAACAGAAGGGGATGGTTTCCAGGTGACTCTTCCTAGCCTTTCTGCCTTACATTTCTCTAGACAAACAGATCAGTGAATAAAGAGCTGAATTGAAGAAGGCTACTCCCATGGAGAAGACACACAGACTTTCCTAGGAATTTTTCTCAGGAAATGTTTAGCCTCCTCTGGTTAAACTTCCTACCTGAGAGTTACTCACTTACCCTGTGTCCGACTGAAGTTCGAGCTTAAATTTTGCCCCGACTGCCCCTGCTCCGCATGAACGGGATGTTGCCGACACCTTCCCAAATCCAGGCTGTTTTCTCCTTGCACAACCAATCCCATGGAAATCCCTTGTCCCTGGCAGTCCTGGTTAGTTAACTCTGCCTGTGTCTCTAAGAGTAAAGCAGAGGCGACCTGCAGCCCTGCTTAGGTCTGAAGCTGTAGGAGGGAAACTTCAGGCTTGAGCAGGAGTTTGAGCTCTAACGAACGGGGCTGGATGAGAGGATGGAACCGTGTTTACACTGGAGTAAACAAACAGAGCCATGAGATGTGCCATTAAATTTAACAGGGTTTGTAATACATTCATCTCTAGAAGAAGATCCTGCATCCCATGGGATAGCCCAGCATCACGAGCTGGCAGCTTTATCTGATTCCGTGCTGATCTGGTGACCGGTCAAACAAACAAAAGAGGGAAGAAGCGCAGGGATGGATTTTAGTTGGTGCCTATTTGGAATGGAGGCACCGAGCCAGCTTCC